CCCACCGCCCAGGCCCGGTGCAGTCCCCGCTCGCACCGGCCCATCCAGCGGCCCCCGGCCCCGGGCACACAGACACGGGGACCCGTGCGCGCCCACGGACGGGCCTGCGTGAGCTCCCCAGGCAGCTGGAGGGAGCAGGGGTTTCCGCAGGCCTGCAGCCCCACTGGGGTTGCAACCAGCAAGGTTGTTGATCAAGGTTGTTGATACAGGGACCGGCAAGGTCTTCTGGACTTCCTCTGGGGATTCTGCCATGTCTCACCAACCTGAAGGGTTTGAGACCCTTGCTACAGTCATGGCCTTGGAAACCAGGCAAGACATGGCTTGTGCCCTCTCTGGAAAGAGCCAGCATGGGCTTTGGCTTGCAGCAGCCCCAGGAAAGCAGATGCAGGAGAAAGACAAAAGCTGCTGCCTTCTCTCAGCACAGAGATGGGAGAGCCACAAGGCCGAAAGTTCCATGAGACCAGATTCCCCTGGGCACAGGCAATTCACACGAACAGGAAGAGCGTGGGGCTAGAAGGAATCCACCTGCCCTTGGCCCAAGGCTCAAAGGAACCACTGACCATCTCCTGGAAGCTGCCAAGAGATCACTACCTGGGGAAAAATCTCCAATCTGTGCCAGGAACAGTCCTTGCACCAGGGATAGACAGACAACCCAATTAAGCATTTCACACTTTACTATGACCCACAGAGAGCACAGAAAGGGGTTTTAAAATACAATAAATGCATTTTAGAGAAGTGCAAGATTTCCAAAGAGTGGCAGATTAAGGAGCAGTGTAGCTTTGACTGAGGGCTGGCATGGCTCTGTAAAGTGTCCCCAAGATCCTGCCATTTCACTCCAGCATGTTCACCCCAAGCGGGAAGGAGCTGGGACCAGTGGGATGCAAGCTGTACCACAGGGGCCCTGGACATGCTGTGCTCCCAGCTCTGCCATCACTCTGCCACAGGTTTCGCTTGCTTGGCTGCTTCCAGACGTGACAGGACTTCATTCCACTGCACAAACTGCTTGGACAGAAGCAGGGTCTGGATATGACACTTAAGGAAAGTAATGTGGAAACTGCAAGGAAGAAACCCAGGTCAGAGCATCCTGATAGCACCATTACAATCCTGATTCCTTGAGAGAGGCCCAGGGCACCAGGCTGTTGAAAGCCTACATGGATTTAATCCACCCAGCGGCTGAATCACTGCACAGCACCAAACACCCACAGGAGCCTGGGTGGCACTTGTGAACACCACGAACCACCGCCATACAAGGGCTTGCTACACAACTTCCCTACCCACTGTGGTTTTGGGATGTGCCTCAGCACTGGGATCCTACACAGCCAGAATAGGGACACAAGTGCCACCACATCAGAAAGGGTGTTAAACCCAGGGTTGGAGAGCCAGCAGGGTCAGCCATGGGGAAAGGGGTCATTTCAGCTGTCCCAGGCCCAAAGTTCCAAGGATACCATTTTGTTATAATCCTCAAGGAGTGTCTTGACACTGTCAGTGAGATCATGACGTTTCTCCTGCAAAGAGAAGAGCCACAGTGCATGAGCAGTAAATAAGGACATCTCTCCTTTCCCTGTACCTGACACCACTGCAGGAAAACTTATCCAAGGCCAGCACTGAGATCAGTGCTCAGGCCCTGGCTGTGGATGCTCACTGCAGCTGGACAGGTTTCCACAACCAAGAGAAAAGTCACAAACACTGATCCCATGAAGGACCAAAACCCCCAGGCTTGCACTTCTGCCTGCCTTTCCTCATTATCCAGGCTTTGCTTGCCCCAGGACAGAAACTCACAGCAAAATGCTGAAACTGCCCAGGCTATTCACAGCCAGCTCTGGGAGTGCTCATACAGGAAGGGAAAGGGATACACAGAGGGAAAGGGTGAAGGAACAAGGTGGCAGTGTCAACAGTGTTCCAGATAGTAAGACACGGGAGGAACGCAATTTTTCACCTCAGTGTCTCAGTAAAAGGGGGAATTCAAGATGGTTAAACCCACTGCCACCTACTACATGTCACAGAAAGCAGTATTGAGCAGGCTTACAGTAGGCAAATTTCCAACTTGGACTCGATTGTGAGAAATTCTATCCCCTTTTCTCCCTTGGAGTACCTAAACTTCTTTAAGAGTGTGGTATGCATATTCTGATTCTGCCATAAATGAGCAATTCAAGCAACCACAAATATAGGGGTGCCAGTGCAGCCACTGGCAAAAGCTTCCTATGCCCTTCCAGTCAATACTGATGGGAATATTCACACTACCTGCTGCTGTATGTGGATCTGTGAGAGTCGCTGCAGTTTGGCTGCATGGTCAGGAACCGCTGGAAACACAAAGGAGAAATCAGATTGGGTTGTTCTACAGCACATGGGAACAGTTCCCAAAGTAAAGCCCAGTCCTCCTCCATGAGCACGGCATGGCAGAACTCCTGGGCGCAAGTGTCCCACACTACAAGTAAAACTCATATATAGGATTTAAAAAAGCTGCTTAACTACCTAACTTAACTGCATACGGCACGAGTTCAGGGATGCCCACAGTGAGGGCTACTCAAGAACTCAGAGTAAACAAGCTGCATAGCAGAAAAGGTATCCCTGTCTATGCCAGGAACAGAGATGTTCTGGATGTAAAAAACCTCACAGGAAGGAATGACCTGTGTCCTGGGGTGACTTTATGATGCTTGTATCCCCAGTGGTCTGTTCTGTTTATGTTACATATTAAGTTCTGCACCTTTCAGACTGGCTCTGAGAGTGAAGAGGGGGAAGGAGCAGCTGCAGTTTGTGTTAAGGAAGAGCCCTCATTCCCCACATCCTGCTTTTGGACTGTGCTGTCTGCAGCACAGACAGACAGTGGGACAGAGCTCTCCTTTGCTTTTAGTTGGCTTTAGCTAGCTGAGGCAGTGAAGTTCCCTGGACTGTTTTTTTCCTTTTTCCTTGGATCTGTTCAAACCTGCTCTGGATTGAACACCCAGACAAACCCTGGGAGCTCACACCTGCAGCCCACCAGGGCCTGGGCCTCGGCACTTTTCCAGTGCTGGAGGGACTGATAAGAACCTGAGCAAGCTGAGCTGTACCCCACGACAAGGACTTTCTGGATTTGCCATCTCTTCCAACAGTGAGAAGTTTCATTGTGTAATATTATCCTTTTTTTTTATGCTTGTAGATACTTTGCTTGTTAAAAAAAGTTTTTTCCACTTTTCTCCAAGGTAATTTTTCTCATACCAGTTGGGGGAGGGGCCACTTTAATTTGTTTTCTGGAGGAACGCCATCCAGAGGTTTTCTCCCAAATTTCCCTAAACCAGGACAACCTGCCAGGCTCCACCGTCTCTGCCACATTGCTGTCTCTAGCCTGCTTCACAAGCCACTCTATCACCTCCTTGACCTTGCAAGGGAGGCTAGAGCAGCATGAGGCAGCAGCAGACCAAGTTTGTGCTCAGTTTACTCTCACACCACTAAGCTGTCCTCTTCTCTAGTCTCAGGCTCAAGAGAAAAGAAAAGAAAGCAGGACAGGTCACAGCTTAACAGGTGGCATTTGCAGCTCCAGCTTTCAGAAGAATGTGCATACCTTGGATACTGGTGCTGTCCAAGATGGGCTGGAGGGTCTTCACCTGCTCCAGAAGGGCTGCACGGGCAGGAATAGCCTGTTCCTCTGGTTATGGGGGGGGGGAACGGACAAGAAGCAGTATCAGTAAACACAAAATGCTGCTTTGACTTTTCACAAATAGTGGTAATTTTTCCAGCTGATCTGTCTTTACAGTAGGAGGCTTGTTCATGATTTTATTTACACTTTTGTGCTACTCATCCTTGGGTCTTGATTCACACCAATTTCATGCAAGAGAATCTCCACCAAGTTCTAAAGACAGGACAAGGAATAATGCATACAGATTGAAAGAGGGAAAATTTAGGCTGGGCATTAGGAAGAAATTCTTTACTGTGGGGGTGGTGAGACACTGGCACAGGTTACCCAGGAGGCTGTGGATGCTCCACCCCTGGCAGTGTTCAAGGCCAGGCAAGATGGGGGTCTGAGCAATCTGGGATAGTTGGGAAGGTGCCCCTGTCTATGGCAGGGTGGGTTGGGACTGGATGGTCCTTAAGGTCCCTTCCACCCCCTTAACATTACACAATTCTATGAAATTCCATTCCCAGATTATACCATCACAAATTGATCAAATTCCTTGGGTCAAAAGAGGAAAAGGCTAGGAGGTGTTGAAACACACCCAAATGCCTTCTATTTTTGTCACAGCTTGGAGAATACTGGAAATGAGGTGAGGAAACCCTTCTAGCTCCAGCTTTTTTTACCAGCCTTTGATTAATTCAGGGCTAAAGTGAACGATCAATATGGGAGAGATCAGAGCTGATAAAACTGCAGCATGGCTGTGCACGAGGGAGCACTGAGGGTGACAGACATCCTTGTACAAACCATCTGTCTGATACCTCCACAGGGCATGCTGTGCCATGTCTTTACAAATGAAGAAAAGAAACCCATCCCGGTCCATCTTCAGTAAAGGACACTGTTTTCTGCAGTGTTACAAAAGCCTCCTGTATCTCCTGGTTTCATGCCATACCTGCCAAGATGAACTGCAGCTTCATAGCATCTGGAACAGCCATCCTGTCAATGTACTGGGGGTCAAGGTATTTGATTACATCTTCAACTGGAGGGATAAACAGGTTTGGAGACAAAAAGCAGGGTACATGTTATGGCATTCACAAGAGCAGCTTCCCCTCCCACTATGTACCAGATTACTTTGCAAACACTGCTCACTTCCGTTATTTTGTTCCCCAGATGAATTAATTTCTATGTCACTTTGGAGCTCTGTGACCAAGACAAATAGCTCAAGCCAGGAAACCACTGCATTAGGGACAACTGGAAATCTTGCTTTTTGTCTGAATAACAATTGTCAAAGGTGAGCGAAATCTGCTTCCTCCTACCCTCAGGACAAAACCAGCCAACAGATCCCCATCCAGGTCCTTAAAATCACCCACAAATACACAGCTTATGCTTTTATACTGAGCAGCTACTGCAGACCTGGACATAATGACCCTCCCTGCCCCTCCTGTGACAATACACAGCAAAACCTGGCCAACAGGCAGCTGGGCAGGACAAAGTACCCCCCAGTTTGGACACAGCTCCCCATATCTGCCCACGGAGTGTGAAGCTCATTGCTCCCACCACACACAGAGGGCAGAGCTACTTCAGCATGGCCAGGAAGTCCAAGTGAACAGGAATTCATTTTATGACTTCATGCTCCAAGAGCCTTCAGGGGCTGCATTTCAGGCAGTGCAGATCCTGGCACTGACACGGGTAGATGGAAATTGAGCAAATAACAGGCTGCAGCCGCCTGTTTCCCACCCCCGACTGCTGAGCTGGTGGATCGCGAGCACAAAAACCTCGCTCAGTTACTTATTTCTGTGCCAACTAAACTGAAATAAGGGCCCCAAGTACACAGGTGCGGGGAAGATACTTTTGTTTACAGCAGCGAAACGGTTGAGAGCTCCCCGCTCCCGCCCTCCGCGAACCCACCCCTTCCGCAAGAACCGCTCACTTTTCTTAAACAGGATTTTGATCCTCTCCCTCTTGCCGGCGATATTGTTCAGCGCCACCTGCACCTTCACCAGTTCGTCCGCCACCTGCAGAGGCAGAGGGAGAAGACGGGGCTGTCAGGCTTCTCCGGGCCGCGGCATCCCGGACCCCGCCGGGCCGCACCAAACGGCGACCGGCCGCTCTCCGCAG